ATGTTGCCTACATCACGACGGCCGAGCTGTTCCCACACAGCTGCCACGAGCGGATGTGACATGGAGAAGGCGGGGTTGACAGTCCTGCGGGACTTGAACGCTAGAGGAATTTATCGCATCCAAAGCGTTTTCATCGACAGTTTTCCCACTTGGGACGAGGATAATATACAGCTGCGATGAATTTATCGGGTAGTTGGAGATGGAGAAAATGCCGTTGCTGGCATCTTGACAGGCGATTGACAACAAACGGAGACCAAATGTCATCCTGTGAAAGGTCTGGAGGGGCGTTTGCTGCAGCTTTTTCTTTCCCGCTGATGCGAGGCTGCGTTGGTGTCTTACACTGCTGATATTGCTTGACCAGTCAGAATCCCTGCTGTTCGAGCTGAGGAATCTTCTGCATCTTGAAATACAACCAACCAGAAGTATTCGCTCAATTTCCGGATGATCATCGGCGGCCTCTCCGAATGGATCGTTAATCTCCAGGTCACTCGACTGTCAAAGTGATGCTTGTTGATGTGTCACGAAATGGCAGGGAAGGACGATCTTATCCGCCGTCTGCAGAGATTCAGATAAGAAACTAGATAATCACATTATTGACAGGTAAAGTCGTTACTCATTCGAATTGGAGAACTTTAATCAACATGGCACACGCTTGTCGGGTTCATAATCTCAGCCCAGCATGATGAAGTAGCTCAACCGATGAGGGCTGAGAAAGGCTTCGTATCTTCGGAGATGTCTATGATTAGGCCACCAATTCTTACAGGACTACCCAAGTATCAATCAATCGGCTTAGTAAACCGGATTGCAACAATAGAGCTGCATCTCATCTCCTCTTGCGATCTATCGCAATCCTTATGATGAATATTCGGAAGAGAAGACGTTTGAAACATGCATCTGTACTCTCGTCCTGCTGAAAATATACCTACCTTACACCTAAGCCCCGCATATCGTGAATATTACTGTAGAAGTTCGTCTCAAATGATTTGAAGAACTAGATATGCCATGGTCTAGCCTACTCAATCGGGTCTATCATCATCCTCCCGGCAACAGCACCAGCCCTCTGTACTTGATTCTTTCTATGTGTTGCACTCAGCCGATACAGCCAGAGCTATGCTGCACTATCGTTCACTCTCCTATACCAAGGTTAAGCTTTTTGGAGGCCTGGAGCATTCAAAGGGAAAATATGCTTCCTTTCTGCTGAAGACAAAGACCAGTACTTCGTCAGGGTCGCTGGATACCTCTTGGCCTTGAATTCGACCTGGATTCTCCGTAGTCTCTGGCCAATTAAGCAACTCAGGCTGCGATTGAGTAGGTAGACTTGCATCATGTCGCTATGACAGACGTTGGGCCTGTAGATCATTGACGATGCCGATTCACCTAGTATGTAAGTAGATATCAAGCTGTTGTCGAAGAGTATCGCTATGACCCATCCAGCCTCGTGCCACCACAGAAACATTGCTATCTATTCCCCGTCTCGACTCTTGACAGGTAGAGGGTAATGAGGAAGAACTTAAGATTTCTTGTGTTCACCGCTAATGACCAAAGATCCAAATACCCCCTCCGAAAATATCACGATGGTATGTACCATGAAACCTGTCACTTCTCCATTCCATCCGAGGAGAAAATCTAGTTTCTCAGATGGACTGAGATACTGAGGTAGCTATCCGTAGTTGATGATATGGTGGGAGGGCGATCGTCTGCCAAAATGAGCCTAGCTGGCAATCAAGTCCACTGGGTCATGGGACAAAGCATACTCTACTCCACTTGAACCGTGGGCTATGACTGGCTGAATCCCGATCCTCCCTTGCTTCCCAATCGCCCAATTTGGTCATCAATAGAAGCTCAATAGGGATGAGAATGAGAAGTCTATGCCGCTACCCGGCATGGATGCATCGCCCTGAAGAGTTAAACAGCGTCAAGTGTCAGGCCGTTGAGCTACCAAGCCCTGACGATGGCGTTCTCAGCTCCAGGCTACGACCTTTTAAGCTTTCTACTCTCATGTCTCTGGTAATCCGGACAAAGAAATCAGTCATCGCACCCCATATGTCACAGATTAACTCAGGGTCCTTTCCAGAAATGGCACAGCCTACGATTGTCCTGCAGTCATTCTGCTCCGGTAATCGCTGGCCTACCATTAGTCACATTCCCTGCCTTGGTGTTGACGTGATAGGCGTGTGCCTTTTCCCTTGGGGCCCCTGAAATGAGGGATTGCCAGTGGCCAGACCACCAAGTGGTACAGTACAAGTAGGTACTGTGTACACAAATGAGTTTGCGCCTCGCGTGTACTTGTACCGGGTGCCACGGTTCCAGGACGACCCCGTATATTGGCCACTTGCAGCCGTTGTTTATCTGCTAATCCGCAGGAGATGCGGAATACTGGCGTTCCCACTTCTTATAAGTGACAGATAAACCAAGGGTCGCCGTTTGCCTATTGCCGCGTGTCTCATCGCTATATTGCCATCTAGACGCGCGATTTCACTGTCGCTCCGATGCCCCCATTTGCGTTCGTGATAGGGATCCTGTCCCTCTGTTTTTTCTGCCTCCATCTTGGTGCAGCTGCAGAATCCGGGTACGCGGTCGTTGAGCAGCTCAAAAATGTGCCCGACGGCTGGATAAAGCGCAATGCAGCACCGGCGTCTGACTTGGTCAGATTTCGGCTGGCTATGAACCAGGAAAGAGCCGCTGAATTCGAGCAAAGGGTTATCGATATGTCAACACCGGGTCACTCGAGCTATGGACAACATATGAAGCGTGAGGATGTCAGGGAATTCCTCCGTCCGTCCGATGAGGCCTCAGATAAAGTGCTTTCATGGCTGAGATCAGAAAACGTTCCTGCTGGCTCGATCGAAAATCATGGCAACTGGGTCACTTTCACTGTCCCAGTCTCGCAGGCGGAACGTATGCTAAGAACGCGCTTCTACGCTTTCCAGCACGCGGAGACAGATACGATGGAAGTCAGGACGCTTGAGTATTCCGTTCCCGATGACATCCACCGCTATATTCAGATGATCCAACCAACGACCCGCTTTGGAGGACCTCTCCGGCACGGACGGCAACCACTTTTCGAGGGAACTGTTGCTAACCAGGAAGAGCTGACGGCGAATTGCTCCAAAACCGTAACTCCGGACTGCCTCCGCGAATTGTACGGGATTTATGATACCAGTGCCGAGCCCGATCCCCGCAACAGATTGGGGGTTTCCGGATTCTTGGATCAGTACGCACGCTATGATGATTTCGAGGATTTCATGAGATTGTATGCACCCAATAGGACAGACTTCAACTTCACCGTGGTCTCGATAAACGGCGGTCTCAATTTGCAGAACTCGTCTATAGGCAGTACTGAAGCCAGCCTGGACATCCAATACGCCTACTCTTTGGCGTATGACACGCTTGGAACCTACTATACAACGGGAGGCCGAGGACCAGTGGTGCCTGAGGAAGGTCAGTCGGATACGAGCGTGTCGACCAACGAGCCTTACTTGGATCAACTTCATTACCTTCTCAATCTTCCAGACGAAGAACTTCCCGCCGTTCTTTCAACATCGTATGGCGAAGACGAGCAAAGCGTCCCTGAATCATATGCCAACGCAACTTGCAGTCTCTTCGCACAGCTTGGCGCACGCGGCGTGTCGGTCATCTTCAGTAGCGGTGATTCGGGCGTCGGTACAACATGCATAACCAACGATGGAACCAGAAGGACCAGATTCTTGCCTGTCTTTCCAGCGACCTGTCCATTTGTTACTGCTGTTGGCGGAACCCACGATGTCCAACCCGAGAAAGCAATTGGCTTTTCTAGCGGAGGCTTCTCAGATCGATTTCCACGTCCATCGTATCAGGATTCGAGCGTGCAAGGCTACCTAGAGCAGCTCGGCAGCAGATGGAACGGGCTATACAACCCGAGCGGGAGAGGTTTCCCTGACGTTGCCGCTCAGGCCAATAACTTTGTCATCATTGATCATGGAAGAACTTTGAAAATAGGCGGCACAAGGTCCGTTGTTAAATGAGAGTCGCTCATAGAACAATTCGCGCTAACCCTCGTGCAGTGCATCTGCGCCTGTATTTGCAGCCATCGTCTCGCGATTGAATGCAGCCCGACTTGAGGATGATTTGCCAAGACTAGGATTCTTAAATCCATGGCTCTATTCCCTCAACCAGACAGGATTCACAGATATTGTTGACGGTGGCTCATGGGGTTGCTATATTGGCGCTGGCAACGAACAACTGGTACCCCACGCAAGCTGGAACGCAACGCCAGGATGGGATCCTGTTACCGGGCTTGGAACGCCCTTTTATAATACTCTGGTAAAACTAGCCAAGAGCGTTTAAACTCTGGGATATAACTGTGATAATCTGAAAGTGAATGTATAAGCGTACGGACGTACATACTTTGAATAGCGGCGCTGCGGTCAAATCTGCAGTCATGTAGTTTGATTGGGTAAAGATGAAATTCAAACCTCATCCTATTTTCAAAAGTAAGGTACCTTGTGCCGAAATGATTATGTCCTGGAATGTCTACGGCAAACCAATACTGCCAGTCCGCGACATCGAGAATTCTCCAAGTTTATTCACCATGTATCCACCACATACCTGTCATAGTAAATATACTAGAAAATCCTCTTTCCATAGTGCCGCCATGTTCAGGGCACATTCAGCAGAGTATGTGCCAACTATAAATAGTCTAATTAGACCTCTGGGTACTCTGTTTGGGAGGAGTAGATAGTAGCATGCTTTGTACTAAAAGTAAATTCGGACCTCATTTCAAAAGATGCAATCTCACTGTCCAGACTTCGGATACGTCAGATCACGTGGCACCTGCATTATTGACCGCCCGCCAAGACCGTCGTGAAGCTCTTGGGAGCTGACAGCACCATCAACTAACCTCCGTCTACACCATCAAACCGCTTCTGTAGTCTTTCTTTCTCTTTCCACCAGGCGTTAAACATTCTCGAACAGGACCTTCACCCACCCGAGATAGAGAATATCAAGAAGACGTTACTATCATGGCAGACGGCGCCGATCTCCGGTCCCTCGTTTCAGAGCTCCACAATGCTCTCAACCGCAAGCAGCTCGATGCTGCCAACAACCTCCTCAGCCGAGCAAAGCGAACCCTTCTCCTTCAGAATGCGCTAATTCCCACACCCTCCACACCGTCGGAGCTCATCCCGCTCGCTCGTGAAGTTCTGGAACTAGGAGCCCTTGCCTCCATTCGACAGACCGACGCACAAGGCTTCACGAGATATTACCAGCAGCTGCAGCCCTTTTACGACCTTGAGAGGGATGGCGCGGGCTCAGCGCATGTGGATGCTAGGACTAGCCAGCGGAGCAAGATTACAGGTCTGTATCTGATGCTTTTGTTGAGCATGGGTGATAGCACTAGTTTCCACACGGTGTTGGAAGGCCTGGTTGAGGAGGCGAGTCTACAGGGCAAACGCGTGGAGGATGATCTGTACATCAAATACCCCGTTGACTTGGAGCGGAGCTTGATGGAGGGAAGCTACGACAAAGTGTGGAGGGAGACTAACTCGGAGAGAGTGCCTTCGGAGGACTTTGCTCTGTTTTCTAACGTGAGTCTATCCGTTTTCCTTTACGACCTGTTCATTCGTTCTGCTGTTGGACAGATCCTAATGATTATGTGATCAATAGGTCCTTGTTGGAACCATCCGAAGTGAAATCGCGGACTGCTCCGAGAAAGCGTATCCTTCGCTTCCCATTTCCAACGCCAAGAATCTGTTGTTCCTTGACTCCGAGGGAGCCGTTATTGAATTCGCTCAGCAGCGTGGGTGGGTTCTCCGTGACGGACGGATATACTTCCCAGTCGAGCCTGAGGCCGCGGCCCGGTCTGAGAAGGACATCCTGGTGGCAAGCAGCACGGTCATCGAGAACACGATAGGCTACGCTCGCGAGTTGGAGACGATTGTCTAGTTGATCAACAGATCTATGCGATGACTTCCATTTGCCTTTGAGTCTTTTTCGGGTTCCGGCTGGGGTTGTATCTGTATACCTCTCGCTTTGCATCATGAATTCTGTTCGAGCGTTATCTTCTCACGACAAATAAATTCCATTATTTTATGCCTCTGATTGAAACTGGAGGTTGGTCCGTCTGTAGATCTACTCTCCATATACAAACTCTTCGGTCGTAGAAACTGCTGGAAACACAAACCAGCTCCGATATATCCTTGCCTTCCAAGTCGTATCCTCCCTCCGCTTTCCACACATCAGATGCATAATTCATGCTCTCATGCTCCGTGAACTGGGCCAGGACATCGATACTCCATTCGGATCCCGAGTCATCTACTCTTCGAGGTTTCCACGTCACCGCCACCACCCTTGTCCCTGCATGCATACAGCTAGCTAGGATCAGAAACCTCCACTCTTCGCCCTCTGTTTCTGAGGCAGGCTTTTGCTCCGTCTTCAACAGCTGTAGTCTCCAGACACCGCCGCCAAGACACTCTTCAGCAAGCACTTGGCCCCTACGCGTGGCATGGTAGACACGCAGGCAGTCATCATAGCTCCCTGTGAGCAGCAAGGGAGCGCCTTCACTAAGCGGAAGGGGCAGAGGAAGAATACTCGTTACTCCGCCCGTATGGTGACGAGCGCGGTCGTCGTAGTCAAGTACGAGGGGCGCCAGAGGCTCCTCTCCTTCTACTGCTGCCTGTTCACTCAATTGGCGTGTATGCAGCGAGCCGAAGTCATCCCCTGTGAAGAGGTAGGGAAGACTGGGTTCCTCGGATCCCGATGAGGGGTCTCGGAGTGACGCCAGAGCCACGAACCATACTTCGATGGTCTGGGTGGCTTCGAACGTTCCCAGTTCGATGATGCTGGATTGCTCTGTGAGCTCGGCCTTGTCGGCGGAGGTGGTGCCGTAGACGCTCGTCCTGCCATCGGAGAACGTGACGGCGAACCCGTCTTGCTCGCGCCTTGGAAACCAGTTCTGGGGTGCCCAGGCTAGGAACAAAGCCGGGGTTGAGGGATCCTCATGGACGGGTAAGTCCCATAGATGGCTGATGGTGGTTTCGGGGCCGGTTGAGACTTTGAAAAGAGCCACGGATGCCGCGCTTGTGGCGATGGCGAGGATGCTAGCATCTCTCGGATGGAAATGGAGATCAAAGACAGCATATGGCAGTGATAGTTTTTGGATGAGAGAGCTGAGTGTTGTATAGCCGATCAGTCAGCCTGGAACTTGGGAGGATGATGATACAGGTCTCACAGTTCGTTGTTCAGAGGATTGAGGTTCCATAGTTGAAGGCTTCCAGTCTTCGTCTGCTGCACATTTCCATCATTGTCTTTGTTTTCGGATAGCAGGTAGGTGCCTATGATGAAGTTGTCTGGTGCTGCAGGGCAAAATTGAAGACAGCTTGGTGGTTGGTCGAGGAAGATGGTCGCTGCAGACTTGGGGTGCTGAGGTATAGGTGACATCCTCTTGAGTCAATATATGGTTAAGTTTACTCGACTTGTCCAAAGGGTTTTTTCAGCTTTTCCCCGCAGAAATGGTGTTTACAGATCAACGATGAGGTCAAAGTGTGGGCGGTGAAAATATAGAAGAATCCTGATAGCATACTGATTATTGCCTTATTTGTCTCCATCTCATCCAACTTTTGGGTCACAAATTTGAAATCGAGTCCCATCCTTGCCAATGACGAAACTATACAGCTTCGGCTACGATGGACATGAGATGATCACTTGTCGCATTGGATGATTACTCCATATTCTTTGTTTGACTTACCCCGCTATTTGACATCCCCTGTCTATTGGATGGCTGTATACTGCCCTTGGAAATCAGCAGGTATATATGTCATCGTAAAAGTAGAGTCAGATGAAGCTCAACTACCTTCTCTACATCAATCATTATCGCCATGTCGACCCCATACAGCCAGCTTCCTTCAGCAGCAACCATCTCCCCAACTCCCTTTCGAGTAGCCTTCCCAGATGAACAGATAACGGAGTTTAAGACGCTGGTTAAACTCGCTAAGATCGCTCCACCTACGCTCGAGAACCTGCAACAGGACCGTCGATATGGTGTCACATCCGAGTGGCTGACGGCCATGCGAGAGAAGTGGTTGGATGAATACAACTGGAGAGCCACCGAGGCCCGTATCAATAGCTTCCCTCAGTTCACAACCAAGATCGAGGACATATCCCTGCACTTCGCAGCTTTGTTCTCGGAAAAGAAAGACGCAATTCCCGTGATACTCCTTCATGGATGGCCTGGTAATGCTTGATTGCCTTCGCTTGTTGCGTCCGTGCTTATAGGAAAACTATAGGTAGCTTTCTGGAGTTTCTCCCCATGCTTCAACTGTTCAAGGAGGAATACACTTCGACCACATTGCCGTATCACTTGATTGTGCCTTCGCTTCCCGGTTATGGGTTCTCGTCCGGCCCACCCTTGGACAGGGAGTATAAGAGCCATGACGTGGCACGATTGATGGACCAGTTGATGAAAGGTCTCGGTTTCGGAGGCGGCTATGTTGCTCAGGGAGGAGATATCGGAAGTCGCATCTCGAGGGTGCTGGCAGTGGATTTCGAAAGCTGTAAAGGTCGGTTCGGGGTTCATTCCCTCAATTGCCATGCATACTGACGATGCTGTAGCGGCTCACCGTGAGTCTACTTCTTCTGTGCCTCTCTGAGGTGGTGCCAACAAGCAACAGTGAATTTCTGTACTGTCCCACGCCCCGAGGGCTGTTCAGATGACAGCCTGTCTGCTTCTGAGAAACGCGGAGTGGAGAGGCTGAATACCTTCATGACGACTGGGACAGCATATGCAATCGAACAAGGCACCAGACCAAGCACCATAGGTCTTGTCCTGTCCACCAACCCTATGGCTCTGCTGGCGTGGTAAGCATGACGATGCTCAAAATTGCAAAAACCCCCATTAAACGGCGTGACTAGGGTTGGAGAAAAATTTCTCGATTGGGTGGATGAACCTCTTCCTTTAGAGACCATCCTAGATTTTGTCTCTCTGTACTGGTTTACCGAGACATATCCGCGGGCCATCTACTTTTACCGCGAGGTTTGGGGTTCCGATTTATTGAAGTAGGAGAGATGCTGATCCAGAGGTTGAGCAGGACTACCCTCATAGAAAATTCACGTCTCAGCTGAGTAACCGGTGGTTCATTCAGAAACCGTTTGGGTTTTCCTATTTTCCCATGGAACTTTATCCGGCTCCCAAGTCCTGGGTGGCCACTACAGGAAATTTGGTCTTCTTCAAGGATCACCAGAAGGCATGAACCTTTATTTCCATCCTAATCCATCTGACCCGCTAACTCCTTCATTCAGGGTGGTCATTTTGCGGCGCTTGAGCGACCTCAGGACCTGAAAGCGGACTTGACGGGATTCATTGAGCAGATTTGGCCAAACATTGCGGCGGCGAAGTGGTAGACAGAACTCATTCATGTCAAACAGGGGGCAAGGCTCAAGCTATTTGCTTCAATTGACGTTATTGAGTAAGGCGTAGCCTGTCGTCACCTGTTTTCACAAGTAGAGAGCTTCAGTGAACACAAAGCACCCTGCGAGCCGATCAGGTGGGCAGACACAGTAAATGGGGACAGCCACTGCTTACCAACATGGTGCAGCTTAGCCTAGTATGCCCTGGCTGAAAGTGAAAGAAGAACGCAGACAAAGCCAGTAGTGACCAAGTCATCTTGTCTCTCGAAAGCATAATACAATCACGATGCTTGATTATCGGATAAATTCTTTGACACTTTGATGGCCACTTCTTGTAGATGCCAATTTCGCGTCTGGTCTTATAATTCCGATGCCCCGATGCCGGGATCTCGCCTGCCTCTCGAGTCCTCTGATATTGGCAAGGAGCGGAAGGATAGAGCGGTGTGTCACTCTCAGATTGACGAAATGATAGGAGCGTCATTGCGTTCATCATCTTCCTGACTTCGAGCCACTCATTCGTTGTGCTACTAAGCTGAATACGGCGACCGAGGAGATAAAGAGGACTAGATTGTAGAACTGTAATTATCCTCAGTATGGGATCTTGTCCTGAATATTGTAGGTGAGAGCATACGGCCGTCCTTGAGTACTCGTTCTCTTCGGCCTCTGTTCTTGCCTCGACAAACAGGCGTCGCAGATTAGGGAGGTTCGCCTGGCAATGACAATGAGTAACTGAGATCCATTATGAAAAGCCGGGACTTACCATGACATCAAATCCTAATTCAACAAATGTGCTGGTTATTATTACAGGGTCAATAAATCAGAGAATCCTCGAAGAATCGGGGAGCTGAAGTGGACAAGACGGAGGTGAATGGATTGGTGGTGGCTCCGGTATGGGGAAATCGTGAGCCGCGTTTTGTGGACAACTTTTGGGCCTGTGACAATTGACCTAGACCAGACCAGACCATTCGCTTCCCTTAACCCCTCTGCACCCTTGAAGGCGACGAATTGCTCCCTACTTTTTTCTGCCCTTTCTAATTTCTCTGTCACCCCGAGACAAATTTGGGAACCAGGGTCCCGGCCTGGTCTCAAGCGTTGCATCGTCACGTCCCCTCGAGTCGAACTGGTCCCTGAAGCTTCGCCGCCAAATTCCCCGCAGTGGTCCGCAACGAAGCGCTTCCTTCCCACCTACGATCAGAATATTGTCTGCGGAGGCGCGACCTAGTCGTCGCTGAAGCTCTCGTTCCCTCAAAATGGCGATGAGTAGGATTCGCGGCGCTTTTGCAGTGCCTAGAAAAGGAGAAACGTTTGAATTGCGAGCTGGTCTTGTGTACGGAGTTCCTCCACCCTACGTAAGATTCATTGAGTGGACTGTGTCGCTGACAGAACCATAGATCTCAGTATGCGTACGAACGGTATGTCGAATACTTTTGTTTCCTCTCAGAGCTCTTTTGACCATTTACCACTCGCGACGCTGAATGTGAGTGCATTCTGACACTGTTACAGGAAGGAAGCCATCCAGAAGACCATCATGGCCATGACACTGGGAAAGGATGTCTCCGCTCTTTTCCCTGATGTCCTCAAGAATATTGCGACGAGTGATCTTGAACAGAAGAAGCTTGTATATCTATATCTCATGTGGGTGTCCCTGATTCTGCTCGGTGGCCGCTCCGTTGGCTGATCCCCCATGCTTCAAAAAGGAACTACGCCAAATCTCACCCGGATCTTTGCATTCTCGCCGTGAATACATTTGTACAAGACTCCGAAGACCCCAACCCATTGATTAGAGCACTGGCTATCAGAACAATGGGATGCATTCGGGTGGATAAAATGGTCGATTACATGGAGGAACCACTTCGCAAGACACTCCGGGACGAATCACCCTATGTCCGAAAGACTGCCGCGATCTGTGTGGCGAAGCTCTTCGACCTGAATCCTTCTTTGTGCTTGGAGAATGGTTTCCTCGAGATGCTCCAAGAAATGATCGGCGATCCGAATCCTATGGTGGTTGCGAACTCGGTGACCGCGCTTTCAGAGATCTTTCATGCCGCTCCCGAGACCCGAGCCCTCCAAGTGACGTCTAACATACTGCGCAAGTTGCTGATGGCGTTGAATGAATGTACGGAGTGGGGTCGGGTTACAATCCTCACGACTCTGGCAGAATACAAAACGAGTGACGTGACAGAATCAGAGCACATTTGTGAGCGAGTCGCGCCACAATTTCAACACGCCAATCCAAGTGTAGTCCTGGCAGCGGTCAAGGTCGTTTTCCTACACATGAAGAACATTAAGCAGGAGTTGTCGAGCAACTACTTGAAGAAGATGGCCCCTCCTCTAGGTATTCTTCTTCGTCCGACTTGTTATCCAAAAGCATGGCATGCTGATACCTGATTAGTGACTCTGGTGTCCTCCGCTCCGGAAGTACAATATGTCGCATTGCGAAACATCGATCTGTTGTTGCAGAAGCAGCCCGACATCCTGAATAAAGAGTTGCGGGTTTTCTTCTGCAAGTATAATGACCCTCCTTATGTGAAGTTCCAGAAACTGGAAATTATGGTCCGCATAGCCAACGACCGCAACGTCGATCAGCTTCTCGCAGAACTGCGGGAGTACGCATTGGAAGTCGACATGGATTTCGTGCGGCGTGCCGTGAGAGCCATAGGTCAGGTTGCCATCAAGATCGAGAGTTCATGCGAGAAGTGTGTCAACACATTATTGGATTTGATCAACACCAAAGTGAACTACGTCGTACAGGAGGCTATTGTTGTCATTAAAGACATTTTCCGAAAATACCCTGGATACGAGGGCATCATCCCTACTCTCTGCAAATGTATTGACGAGTTGGATGAACCAATCGCCCGTGCCGCGCTCATCTGGATCGTGGGAGAGTACGCAGAGAAGATCAGCAATGCTGGCGACATTCTGGCCGGGTTTGTGGAAGGGTTCAATGAGGAATTCTCACAGGTCTGGTTGCTTCGCTCGACTTGTGGATGCCAAAGCTAATTCCTTAATTAGACTCAGCTTCAGATTCTTACTGCCGTCGTAAAGCTATTCTTGAAGCGGCCCGAGAAGGCTCAAGGACTGGTTCAGAAAGTTCTCCAGGCGGCAACGGCTGAGAACGATAACCCTGATGTCCGTGACCGAGCCTACGTTTACTGGCGTCTTCTCTCCAATACAAGTGATCCCAATGCCACCAAGAACATTGTTCTCTCCCAGAAGCCTCCTATTGTTACGACGATCCACTCTCTACCTCCCGCTCTCCTTGAACAGCTGATCGGTGAACTTTCTACTCTTGCATCCGTCTACCATAAGCCACCAGAGCAATTTGTCGGACAGGGCAGATTTGGCGCAGATGCCGTGCAACGGGCTGCTATTGAGTTCGTTACCTTGCTTCTGAATCCCTTCTTTTGAGCAGTCAGCTAATATGATGGAACAGGGAACAAATCCAAAACGCCCGTGAAAACCCATTGGCTGCAGCCGCAGCGGCAGCCGCAGTCACGGGTGCTACACCCCCGCCACAGGCTCAGAGCAACATTGAGAACCTCCTGGATATCGATTTCGATGGCACAGCTCCCGCATCGGCTCAGAAAGAACCTGCTAGTGGAATGTCTGGTCTCGAGGGTCTTGCTGGTACTCCCGTTCGAGTAGAGTCTCCTGCTGTTGGCGCACCCGCTCCTGCCGCAAGCAACAATCTGGATGACCTCCTTGGTGTGTTCGGCGATAGTGGCAGTACCGCCGCATCAGCCAGCACCGCTGTTCCAAACGGCAGTGGTGCTGCTGCGGACCTCATGAACGGCTTCTCTGGCCTTGATCTTTCCGCCAACGCCACATCGCCACCCCCAGGCGGCAATCAGCAAAGAAAGACTAATGAGGATATTCTGTCGCTGTTCTAACGAGGGGAAGCGCTGGTTATTTGATGATTTGGCGTGGCCTTCTCAGGCTCAGGAGTATTATTTACAATTGTGATATAGATCCCATACCATTGTCCGATTCGCACTGAGTTGCATAATACTTGACCTACATAGTTAACCAACATTTATCTTTCTGTGTTCTCCCTCCCTCGTTCGTATGGTTGACAAATAAATGCTTGGATCTCCAGTTCGAGTACTCAGTACTCTGTACCTCTCTATCATGATGCCAAGGTATCAGACTGCCAACCATTTATGCACGTGATTTCGATGTGCCGTTGTCGGAGACGCTAAATCCCAAACAGGCATGGCCCTCCCCGCGGCGTTGCGAAGGCCGAAAGAGTAAAGACAAGTCCGCAAGTGGGATGAATCATCGCCAGACTTGGCCTTCGTTCATTCTTTAACAATTGATTCTCTGATAGCAATTGTCATTGTCCACGGAGCGGTCATCTCGATTGAGACAGCTGGTATACTCACGACCTCAAATTATACTCCCTAGCCATGTCTCATACACTTTCGCAAAAATATCTCAGCACGCGGGGTGCCTCCTACGGGGTCGGTCGAGAATACTTTAACCCTCCTCCCAAAAGATCGTTCTGCTGACCTCCTGGCTGTATAGCTGTCCTTCGAAGAGGTCGTCCTTAAGGGTTTGGCGTCCGATGGTGGCCTGTTCATCCCCGAAGAGATTCCCTCGCTTCCTGCAGGATGGGAGACCGAGTGGCGCGACCTGAGTTTCGAAGATCTGGCATTTCGTATCATGTCGTTGTACATCTCATCGAGCGAAATCCCCTCGGAAGACCTCAAAGATATTATCAGACGCTCATACGCTACATTCCGGCACCCTGAGCGGACCCCTCTGGTTGAATTGGACGGAAAACGCAACCTCTACTTGCTCGAATTGTTCCACGGACCAACATTCGCCTTCAAGGACGTAGCGCTGCAGTTCCTCGGAAACCTCTTTGAATATTTCTTGGTGCGCAAGAATGAGGGCAAGGAGGGCAAGGACAGACACCACTTGACTGTTATTGGTGCCACCAGTGGAGATACTGGATCTGCAGCTATCTATGGTCTCCGGGGCAAGAAGGATGTCTCCATCTTCATCCTCTTCCCCACTGGACGGGTGTCGCCTATCCAGCAGGCTCAGATGACGACAGTCTTGGATGCCAACGTACACAACCTGACTGTCGAGGGCTCGTTCGATGATTGCCAGGACATTGTCAAGGCCTTGTTTGCCGATCCTGATCTCAACTCAACCCACAACATTGCCGCCGTCAACTCCATCAACTGGGCTCGTATTTTGGCTCAGATCACATATTACTTCTACTCTTACTTCTCTCTCACCAAGACCCCCGGCTTCTCCAAAGACACGAAGATGCGCTTCGTTGTGCCTTCGGGAAATTTCGGTGACATCCTCGCCGGATGGTTCGCTAAGCGCATGGGTCTTCCCGCCGAGAAGCTTGTCATCGCAACCAACGAGAACGACATCCTGGACCGCTTCTTCCGTAGTGGTGGCCAGTACACCAAGAACACCACACAGGCCGAAGGCGTCAAGGAGACCCACAGCCCCGCCATGGACATCCTCGTCAGCAGCAACTTCGAGCGTCTTCTCTGGTTCCTTGCCTTCCAGGCGGACAGCGCCAGCTCCGCAGACGAAAGACGCAAGCACGCCTGCGAGAGCGTCAGCGATTGGCTCAATCAGCTGAAGACACAGGGTGGCTTCAGCGTACCCCAGGCCGTCCTCGAGGGCGCCAAGGCCGAATTCGAGAGTGAGCGGGTGAGCAATGACGAGACTATCGACCAGATCAAGTCCACCTACACCTCTTCCTTCCCCTCCAACCTCGGCCCCGGAAGCGCCAAGAGCTCCAAGACTGGCGGCTACATTCTCGACCCTCACTCTGCTGTCGGTGTGCGGGCATCTCTTCGCTCCATCGAGCGTAATCCTGAGATCAAGCACATCTCCCTCTCCACAGCCCACCCGGCCAAGTTCGCGAGCGCCGTCGATCTGGCCCTGCGCGCCGAAGACGGCTATGACTTCACCGAGGTTCTTCCTCAGGAATTCATTGGGCTCGAGCAGCGGGAAAGCAGAGTCACTCCTATCCGCGCCGGCGCCGGATGGGTGGGTGTCCGAGAAGTGGTCAAGGCCGAAGTCGAGCAGGAGCTGCAGGGCTTGAGGTAATTGGACTCTTTCGACAAGCTTTCTTGTTTCTTACGGATGTCTTTATGTTCTATATATCCTCTTTTACTCCTTTCAATCTCCATTAAAAGTTTAGGTTGATGAAATGGATACGTCTCCGCCATTCTGTTTGGGACCGTGCTTTAATCTGCTTGCATGGAGCATACCTAGATCATAGAATCAATGTCACATACATGGCTCTTAGATTAACATTTTCTACCGGCTTGACTTTTTTCCATTATGCACCCGAGGACCTTCATCGGTGTCCATGAGAGCGCAAGTCGCTGTCCTTGAACATGGTTACATCAGTCTGCGAGAATCGAATCGGATGTACGAGATCTTAATCGACATTCTGACAGCGTGAACTTAATCCCGATGTGGTGGGAACCGACTGACTAGGTAGACCCGAAATGTATCATTTTTAAAAGCGTCGTTCAAAAGACAGTAGGATATGATTGACTCTATAAAGCATGCAATGTATTTGCTGCGCCCGCATTATATTACTATTACTTCGTTATTTGACAAACTATAACCCCGTCCATAAACCATGAGCGAAGGAACAACTTTTTCATAAGTAGATGGCCGAAATGTGGATGTCAAATGATAACACAGATCAAGTCAAAACCGTGCGAGAAGAGAAAATCCAGAATTATCGAAAAGATACCTTTCCCGCCCGTATGATAACCAACCACCTTGAATGCGGAAGGCTATAGATGAATGCTCTAAAGCATGAGCATGATACCCATGACACCAGCCAGGAGACCGGCGGCAGGCTCGAAGCTCTGGGAAGCAGAGCCAGTGAAAGGAGTCTCTGTTGGGCCCACCGGTGAGACACCAGAGGGTTGCGCCGGGGTACCAGCGGGCTGGGTGGGAGCGGCGGGCTGACCAGGCACAGAGGGCTGACCAGGGACAGAGGGCTGACTGGGAACAGAGGGCTGGCTAGGAACAGAGGGCTGGCCAGGCACAGAGGGCTGGCCAGGCACAGAGGGCTGACCAGGAACAGAGGGCTGACCAGGGACAGAGGGCTGACCAGGAACAGAGGGCTGACCAGGAACAGAGGGCTGACCAGGCACAGAGGGCTGGCTAGGAACAGAGGGCTGGCCAGGAACAGAGGGCTGACCAGGCACAGAGGGCTGACTAGGGACAGAAGGCTGACCAGGGACAGAAGGCTGGGCAGGAGTCGAGGGCTGTCCAGGCGCAACAGGAACTGGCTGCACAGTGGGAACTGATGGAACAGTGCTGTTGGTGAAAGGAGCGGGCTTAGGGGATGGCACAGGCACAACAGTAGTGTTCTGTCCGGGATTGATGGTTGGGACTGGTGCAGGTGGGATCACAGTTGTGTTCTGGTGGCCAGGCACGCTTGTTGAGGGGACAACAATGGTACCATTGGTAGTGATCGGTGGAGGCACAATAGTAGTAGTGTTGTGACCAGGGACAGAAGTGGTTGAATGAGGTGGAGCAGTGGTGCTGTTGCAAGTATAGCACACCGTCTCGGTCGTCGTGACAGAAGTTGGGACCAGAGTCTTGCTAGTTACAATTCCAGTGGGCACGACCACCTCGGTGTTCAAGTCACAGACGGTAGTGGTAGTCACGGTGAGTGTCTCAGTCAAAGTGATTGGGACCGTCAAAGTCTTGGTGCCAGAAGTGACAGTAGAGTGGGTCACTGCGATAGAGCATTAGATACATGCGCTGGAAGAGATCAGGTAGAGCATCATACCTGGGCAGGATGTGGTCAAGTAAGTGGTCGTCTTGGTGACCCAGTGAGGCTCAGTAGTGGTCGTCCACTTATCAGAGCTTGGGGGCTTGATGGGAGCAGTTGGACCAACATGACCCTATTACCGCATCGTCTTAGCGGTCTGCCACGCAGAAGGTAATATAGGCTGGGCTGGGCTTGGCTTACCTGGTCATAGCCATTGTTCTGCACCACGCCCGCAAAGGCTGGGCCGGCCAAAGCCACAAGTGCAATGCCAGCGTTGACCATTTTGAAGGACTGGTCTTGCTTTTGAGACAGAAGTTCCTGAACACCAATAAATAACAATCCCGAAGGAAGCAAGGAAGAAAACGAATGAAGAGTATGAGAGCGAGCGACCTTTCTTTGACAGAGAGGAGAAAGAGAGAATTGAGGGAAATGAAATGATGATCGTAAGAGGAACTCGACTTTATATCTTGAGAATGGAGTCGCTTGCCGTTTTCATGGGATCACTGATGGTGGTAATGGTACCCTGTCGTATCCACGGTCAACAAGTATGACGACCAATATCTGGTCCCAGGTAATTTGCAGACTGATTCGCCTCCAGCCCGAGTAGAGTGATAATCCCCGATCGAACCATGGATAATAGAGGTACCGATGTAATGCTATCGAGAGAAAACTCTTATGTGGGAGCCTGTCGTGTGTCAAGACCAGGATATCAATGTGACATCTCGGAGTTCCATTCGAGTGGAAGGTCGGGGATACCCACCTCGACCTCCGAAGAAATGGGGCAACAAGAAGAGGCACTGAAGTCTAAGGACAAGAAGTGATGGCGTCACCAACATAAACCAGTGAGACAAAGGTAACATGGACCAGCATTACCAAGTGGAGAGCTAGATGCTCCCTAGGGACATGTAGCCGGTGATACGCCGTGTTTTGTAAGCTGATAGATCTTCAACTGAACTGCAAGAAGAAGCCGTAGATCTTGCCATCGAGCACGGATAATCCTCGAAGCACAATCTACTACGTATGAAGGCCCCCCTCCATCCCACTCAAAAAATGAGATCCTGTCACGAAAAAGCTCTCTCACGCAGAGATAGAACAGAGCCGGTCATAGCTCGGGGGCGCCATGGGCCTTCAGTCTGGGATGGTTGAACCACACTGCAGAAAGGCGACTGAAACAACCCTGGAATGTGGAGTTTGAGATGGGTACGCCCATACAACGCTACCTGCCGAAGCTTAAAGAAAGGGTTGGTAGCAACGAGAAGCAAAAGGTACTGGAGTCAATCCAGCACCATAGGCTGAAGCGCATGAAAGTGGATGCTAGAGCACTGCTCAGTTCGTTGCGAGAGAAGAGCCTCCATGACCAAACGCTTTCATAAAGCCTTTGATCGATGATGACGCATATCAGATCCATGTCGAGATCTTTGGTATGCTCACTGCTACCATTTTCAGCCAGTTAAGTCTTCTAGACACAAGTACTGTGAGAAGAGAACCCAGTGAACATTTCAAGCTGAGGGTGGTGGATCCTCTGCCTGGATGTGACAGGATCTATCTTGATTGGATATCTCTGTTAGAATCAGGGCAGATGTAGGCATCATACAACTCGAGAGGGGCCAGAGAGAAGGAAGAGAACTCTGACAAGTTGAACGATCTTACAATGATTCCGCAAGCGGAAGTGAAAAAGGGGAAGGAGATTGTTCCTGGCGAGGTTGTGGTTGCATGAGACTTCCAGGGCCACTGACCGTTTGCGGTTGTAGATAAAGACAGCCTAATCAGTATCACGTGAGCTTATCCAAGAGTTCTTCTATCGATAATATAACGATAAGGGCTAGGGCTGATAAGGGTCACTCAGGTGTCCGGTTCAGTAAGAGGCACGCGTTCGGGACGCGTCTCGCGTTAATGGATGTGGATTACATGAACAATGTTGTAGGGCAGAAGGGTCCGTAAAGTTACCACATTGCGCTTCTTCAACCAGATACACAATGCCTCACTCAGTTTCCTCCGCCGAGTCGCCCGCTCACGATCACGATGATGAGATCCTCCCAGATGCCCCTGCAACGGATGCACCTTCTGGCACTACAGAAGATAAGGCGCCAGCCGCGCCGGAAAACCAGGCAACAGGGGTGAGGCTTGAAGATATGTTCAGCGACGAAGAAGACAACGAGGAATTTCCAGCTTCTAGTGCCCCTGAAGCGCAAAATGGGGTGAAAGCGTCTTCGGCTCCCGCAGAGTAAGCGTCGTTTGTTCTTGCATTCGAGCATGGCACTAACATTGAATGTACATGAAGGTCCGCTCCTCAATCGACACAAGTCGACACAGATATTATGCTCGCGTTCTATCAGCGTCTATTTCCATTCCGCTACCTCTTTCAATGGCTGAACCATGGAATTATCCCCTCTCCTGATTTTGGGAACCGTGAATTCGCTCTTACGCTTCAAAATGACGCGTATCTTCGTTATCAATCATATGCGACTGCGGATTTGTGAGTGAGGGAAGCTGTGCACCTATAGTTCATCGATTGCTGACATATTTTCCCCTCAGATTCCGTAAGGACATCTTGAAAATGAACCCTTCGCGGTTTGAGATCGGTCCCGTATATAACACAAACCCGCGGGATCGGAAAACATTAAGAGGCGGTCAGATGAAACCAATCTCCAAAGAGCTAGTATTCGATATTGATTTGACGGATTATGACGACATTCGGTCTTGCTGTGAGAAGGCAAACATCTGTCGGAAATGCTGGACTTTCGTGACTATGGCAATACAAGTTGTGGATACTGCCTTGCGTGAAGACTTTGGCTTCGAGCACATCCTTTGGGTATACTCAGGTCGTCGTGGTGCTCACGCATGGGTGTGCGATCCGCGTGCTCGCAGTCTCACCGATGATCGGCGAAGGGCCATTGCCGGCTACCTCGACGTTGTGAGAGGAGGGTCTCAAAGCGGGAAGCGCGTGAACATGAAGCGGCCGTTACATCCACATATGTCCCGCAGTCTTGAAATTCTCAAACCCTTCTTTGCTCAAACTACACTTGTTGACCAGGATACATTCGCAAGCTCAGAACAAGCGGAGCGACTTCTCTCATTGCTCCCGGACAAGACACTGAATGACGCACTGCGCAAGAAATGGGATTCGTCGCCCGAGCGGTCAAGTACGAACAAATGGGCGGACATCGACGCGCTTGCTAAAACTGGCAAAAGCAGCACTCTGAACCCGACCACTCTGAGAGACGCGAAACAGGATATCGTACTGGAATATACGTACCCGCGACTCGATGCTGAAGTCAGCAAGAAAATGATCCATTTGCTCAAGAGCCCTTTCGTCATCCACCCCGGTACCGGGCGTGTATGTGTTCCCATCGACGCTAAAAAGGCGGACGAATTGGATCCCCTTTCCGTCCCAACAGTCACTCAATTACTGGCGGAGATTGATGCCTGGGATGCCGAACACTCCAGCGGTAATGCAGGCGCCGAAGCTGTTCAGGGTGAAAGCAGCACGCCTAACGATTCTCAAGCAAGTCGCAAATTGCAAGATTACGAGAAGACGAGCCTCAAGCCATATATCGACTACTTCCGTTCATTCATCGCTTCTCTAAACAAAGAGGAACGCGTCGGCAAACGAGGAAATGAAGATCCGGTTGAGATTAAATCGGAAAGTATGGAATTTTAAAGTCGTGCCTGTTTGCATTTGTTCTATTCCATGGTTGGGTTCTTGATGTTGGGATTTCCAGGTTTCTGTTCTCAGCGAAATTGTTGGTTTATGCTGGCGAAGTAGAGGCGTTTGTGTTGGTTAGGCTGAATCAAGGATCCGATACCAAAACTTATGTGTTTTTGTCACTCTACGCTACTACGGTAAACTCGGTGATACTCACGATGACTACCTGAGTGCTTCGACGTTTCCAATTCGATGTGAACTACATATAATCCTGAATTCGTTTCTATATTGATACACAAATGGGGGAATAAGGGATAACTAATTACGATTTCCCAATAAGTTTTGATACAATGTACGAGAAGACCGAGCATGGACTTCAGAGCGGGAGTCTGACATGTTTGGAGGCACAGTTTTTTGCAACGAATATTTCGGCATTTAAGCGGAGACAAAGTTCTTGACGTCTGCGACCAGCGGTGTTAGCTACAGGAGAACGAACACGGAAATGGCAGGGATCAAACTTACTCTCGAGCCAGCGAACGTATTCCTTCTGCTCCTTAACCTGAATGTAGTCGGGAATCATGTTGGCGAGCTCGGCGTTGATGCCTCTCTCTTCGAGGTAGCGCTCGAGGAAGGTCTGCAGGTCCTCGTCAAGGTTCTCGAAAGGAGGACCAGCATAGAGGCTCTGTCTGGCCCAGTCTTGCTCGGCGGTTTGGGCGTGGGCGAGATCGGGCTTGGAGAAGTAAGACACCTCCTCGATCTGGAACAAACCATCCTGGGCAACGGTCTGGATCAGGAGAGAACCGTTGCCGGGCTTCTCGATGGTGATGTTGACACGAGCGGGGAAGCTGGGCTCCATATCACGGTCTAGATCCTCCATTTCGCGGTCAGCGGGAGCAATGCGATCCTCGGGGTGCTGAGCAACACCACCGGGGCCACCGCGACCCTGGTTAGCGGGCTGGTGGCCCTGGAAGTCCATCTCATCGGCGAAAGCGCTGTCGTCGAAATCCTCCTGTTCGCTCAGGTTCTGAAGGTCGGCGACGGTGAAGGTGAGTCGGATCCTGTCCGTAGAGGGAAGCATTAGCGGAGGAGCCGAAGGTTCTGTTCGCGTGAGACTTACTCCTCCTTGCCGAACTTCTTGGTCAACACAACTTCCTGTTCACCAGGAACATCTTTGACCTATGTACAATCGGTGAGTCCATGTCAAAATCAACGATGGCTGTGGTTCGTATACTCACCTCCCAGGAGTTGTTCTGAAGAACATACTGGATGTTCTGGACCGAGGTCTCGAGGTCCTCAAGACCGGAGGCCTTCTCATGCTTCAATTCATCCTCAAGCTTAGCAGCAAGCTCGATATCACCTGATTTGAAGGAATTTGATGTTAGCTTGACTTTTTGCTCCATGAAACCAAGCTTGCAAAGCCACCGGAACTCGTGCCCGATCAATAAGGAAACGAAGATGGAAGATGAAAAAGAGAAGAATTTGAGACTCTCTTTTCCTCCATAGATAACTTGGAGGAAAAAAATTTATGGAATTCTTTACCTTCAGCAGGAGATTGTCTGAAAACACTAGAGGTAGAGAAAGCAGCGTAGGAGGGTCTTGTAGCCTGCTTCAACGAAACTTGCAGAAAGCCATTCTTGGGAACCGACAGGAAGGACGACCGGGAGGTGGTAGCGATGGACCGCGAGAGTGTGCGAGGCACAGAACGTGCGAATGTACGAAGAGAAAGCATCTTCAAGATTGATGAAAATATGATGCGCAAAATTGGCAATAGATGATAATAAGGTGGTATGAAGTTGACAGAGAGGAAGTTTTGGAGCTGGCGTGAGGCGAGCCGATGATGTTAACCTTCCGACCCATGTCACCCGCGCGCCAAGACTTTGAGCTTCTAACATTTCCGGTGATCCAACTACATATACCTACGGAGTACAGGATGAGCCTACTTATAAAAAATCGGTTCTTCGCCTGCCAGATAGTTGTACTAGATCTGGGTTTTATTTGCGTCGGATTTTGACCCATTGAGTGTCTGTTGATCGATGCCCGTATTTAAGCACCATGGCAACCTAGGGCAAGACGTGGACTATGTCTACCTGACGGCTCGGGTGCAGCAGTACAGTATGATAACTTCATGCTCAATGCGCAGAGCGATGCAATTTGGTAAGATACTGAGCTGGAACTTATGAAAGATATTGAAGATGCACAACAAAGTGTCTGCAGCATGTACAAGTGGTCATTGTAATATGTCATATGTAGCATCATCGCCGAAGATCATCTGCCTCGTTAAGTATAAAAAGAAGACCAAAAAGAAAAGGAAGGAAACGGCCTCATGAAAGTCCCTTGGGTGGAAAAACCGACGGCTGTTTCCCACCGTCTCTGGTAATTCTGATGAATTTCATCATGCTGAGGCTGGACCAGTCTCCGTTCCACGAGGCAAGGCCTTTGATCACATCTTCTTGACTTAAATCAGGCATCCAGAATCCAGTCTTGAACTCTTTATTCTCAGCCTCTGTCCGTTGTAGTAACGCCTCTTCGCGCTTGCTTGGAGGTCGACCCTTCCTCCGCTCACTCTGTAATTGTTCGATCTCAGGGACGCTACGGTTGATATACCTAGCGAAGCAGATGTTAGCATGCAACTTGCAACCCCAGGTAATGGCATGGACATACCGCACGATTAAATCCTTCATATCATCTTCTGAGAAGGGTTTAGATTCTTCCGCGATGGTTTCTTGGAAGTACGTAACGCGATCGACTGAGAATAGCGTCTTAGAATCAGCTCAATCAGGTACTCAGAGGAATTTTGAAGTATGGACTGACTGTAGGACTGTCTTCCACGGGACATCAATGCTGTGACTCGGGCTACTCGATCGTCTCTTGCGTTGGCTCGGCGCAATCTCTTCGCATCTCTGCTGTTCTCATGGAGTGCATCGATCACACCACGCTTCTTAGAGATATGCTTGTGAACTTTCGTGAAAGACTTGGGCATTGTGTCGAGTTTCAAGCTTCTATACTTGTCTGAGATAGATAGTCTATGTGAATCTACCATCGGCAAAGTCGAAACTTCCTTTTTTGATAATTTTTTGGTACGAATGGCAGAATCAACAGGCGGTGATGGCGGAAGTAGAGACCGCCTCCCGTGACCCAATCAGAGCTGCTCTTTCGGTGTATCGCGTTCGCGCGTCGATGGGGACAAGAAGGAACAAACATTCCAGCCTCGTTGTCAGGGCCCAGCATTTTGTATCTGGTCAGTTGGTCAGGTGGCTGACATCTGTCGTCAGTCTCTCTTTTATAGGAACGCGGCATCCCAGCACTCCCGTCCTCGGACTCTTCGACTCTCCACCCCAACAATACCAGAGCTGATGCCCGTCTTGGCCGGTTAAGTGAACGGCAGGAGTGTCTTGCCTTTGCAAGAGTGCCCACCATGGGCATCAAAGGTAGGCTTGCCCTCTTCATCATGATGAATGGCAGAATAACTGATCTATCATGCAGGACTCCATGGCCTTCTCAAATCAATTCAGAAGCCATGCCATGTGAAAAAGTTCAAAGGGCAAACCCTCGGAGTAGATGCGTATGGCTGGCTACATCGCGGCACTGTTGCCTGCGCTGTTGATCTCGTTCTCGACAGGCCTACGACGAAGTATGTGATCACAATCAAAACGTTCCGCGAGAGCATGACTGATTTTTCTCCAGGCATGTCGATTTCGTCCTCAATCGTGTCCGCATGCTCCTCTACTTCGGGGTAACCCCATACCTTGTCTTCGATGGAGACAATCTCCCGAGTAAATCCGGTACCGAGTCCGAGCGGCTTCAGAAGCGGCAGGAGAGTAAGGCTCTTGGACTGGAGCTTCAACGGAAGGGTCGTATGGCAGAGGCCTATCAGGAACTACAAAAGGCCGTCGATGTGACTCCTTATATGGCTCGCCAATTGATCGAGGAACTGAAGAAGATGGAAGTCCAATACGTGGTCGCGCCGTACGAGGCAGATGCACAGTTGGTATATCTTGAACGGCAGGGCATCATTAATGGTATCATATCTGAAGACTCGGATTTACTTGTCTTCGGCGCCAAAAGATTGCTGTCCAAACTCGACCAACACGGCGATTGCATTGAGATTAATCGAGCAGACTTCACGGCCTGTCGTGAGGTTAGCTTAATAGGATGGACAGATGCTGACTTCAGACGAATGTGTATCCTCAGTGGCTGCGATTATCTGCCCAACATCCCCAGAATGGGCCTGAAGACAGCTTATCGGAGTATACGAAAGTACAAGAACGTTGAGAAGGCACTTCGCATGCTGCAATTTGACGGTCAATTTTACGTTCCCGCTGATTACCTTGAAAATTTCAAGCAAGCTGAGCTCACCTTCCTATACCAGAGAGTTTTTTGTCCGAAGGCCGGCAAGCTCGTCCCCTTAACTCCACCCGAAAAGGATGTGAACGTGGAGGAGCTGCCCTTTATCGGGCGCGATGTGGATGCGGAAATCGCGATGGGAGTTGCACTTGGCGACCTGGATCCAACGACAAAAGAGCAAATTGTTCTGAAACCCCAGGCTCCTCGGAAGATGCCCAGCGGAATCACTCGGCGGCAGACGCTCGGCTCCGCGGCAGAGCTGAAGCCAAAGAAGCCCATCAGCTCATTCTTTACTCCCAAGCGGGTGCCGTTGGCTGAACTAGACCCCAACAGTCTAACGCCGTCTCCGAGTCAGCAACGACTCCTGGAGCGTCATGCCAATAGTTCCTGGGAGAGTAGCCCTGCGCCATCGCAGCCAGGCGTTATGAGGTCGGCATCTGCTCTGGATCCCTCCAACCGATTATCAAGTCCCTTGGTCCGAAGTGTGGAGCGTACCTCTTTCTTGGCTCGCGCGGCTAAAGTGTCGACTTTTCAACCCGTCAAGCGGCAACGCCTTTGCGCTGAGACAGAGGAAGAAAGCTTGCCTGATCGTGCCCACTGCCGCAGTCGATTCTTCGCGCCTGGCATCGGCAGCTCTAGTCCAAGTGGCTCTACGGCTGCTCGAACCAAACGCAAATCTACTTTGGGAGTTTTCTCTGATGAACTTGCAGAGGAAATAATGACGCACCTTCCCGACCCCGATCACGGTTCCGGAGACTCGAAGGAAGGTGTTTATTCGCCCGGAGCGCATATGTCAGACGAGAAAGATGGCAAATCAATGCTTTCAAATTATGTCTTCAAGCCCCAGGCTATAGAGAGTAACTCTGGCGCATCTCGCAATCCGATGTCGTCAACTTCGTCTGGTCCGTCCCCGCGGCGTCGACTCACTCCCTTGCAGCGGCTTGGTCAAACTGCTCTGGCTCGTTCGCAATCTATGAATGCCCTTTCCCAGACAAAGGCGTTCGTCCCTCCCAGAGTGGTTGAACGGTCGGCGACAACCTTTACTCAGGGCAGTGAAGACTTGATTATTCCCAATACTGACGACGAAGAGGATGGCGATAATAACAGCAAACTGCAGGAACCGGTTAATCTGGAAAAGTTCTTGTATGCCAGATGACGCCGAGGGATTCTCGGGTTGTGGAAGTCGATTCTGTTGGTTTGCATGGACGAGTGGACATTACCTGAATGGAGCACAAAGGCGTATTTGGGACGATTTCCATACCACTATTTTGCATTGATACTTTTGGTATACCCATATCTGGATTGGGCGGTCTTGTTGGGCTACAAGGTTTGGGAGGTGTTTGACATTGCAAGAGGAAAGACAAAGTCTGATTGGAGTAATATACATACAGAGCAGCTTCATCCATGGTTTTTTCATCATTGAGACTTACAGCGAACAATTCAATAGTCCTTCATCTTATTGCGCCTGTCTATTGTTGGCGGTGGAGTCCTCGACACCTGAAAGTCGCGAGGCTGGATCGATCACGTTTCTGATAAGCCACGGTACTTATCCTATCAAGGCATAGCGCCATCGATGGGGTCGATCTGGTCCGGATGGGGACTAGAGGGGATGCCTGAAAGTGCAGGCGGTCAGACATGGTTACCGGGGAACGGGCAGCGTAAACAAAAGGCGTTGGCCCAGCCTCCTCGATTGTATGGGGCATCGCCGACAGTCTCCCAGCCACCAGGATACAGTGCATCATCATCATCATCAGTGTCATCACCGGGACCCTAATGCTGTAACTGTCTCTCGTTGTGAAAAATTGGAAGCAGAAGGAGGTTTAGGCCGCATTTGTGGATTTGTCCAGCTACGCTCCCTTCCCTCTCTCCCCTTCATTCTTCCTCCTACGATACCCTCTCTCATACTTGCCTGTTTTTGGCATATACCTATCTTTGCGAACTGTGATATTCCGGACTGGAAACTGAGCTTTGAGTTGAGACTCTGACCATTTTTATGAAATAATCAGGTGTCGCCCTTTGAAAGAAGCCACATTCTTTGGAAAAGCTCCATCAACTATATCGCATCGAACTATTCGAGTGACCCATCCGAGCCTCGATCCACAACATCCACATTCCATACCACGTTGTCACAGCATTGTCAACGCATCTGGCCATCTTATCTTATCTCAGTGATCAAGATCCTCTACAAGACAGCACGTAGTAGTGACTGTACTTGAAGCCAGCCTGCGCGCCACCAAGTTCAACAGGCTCGGAAACATCTTGTGACTGAGCCTCTCACCGGATAGTGACCAGCAGCGGCCCAACAGGCACTCCTTCTCGGGAGTCCGAGAAGTGAGTTACTCAGCGTGAAGGAAAGGCGCAGGGGAGATCCGAATCCTCTCCCGC